ATGTAAAAAGAAGAATCAACACTTGTGTTTTCAAATATGACACTTATTCCCCAAAGTCATGAATTCTTTTAACAGAGTGTTGTCAAATCTCTGTGTGTTTTCAAATATGACACTTATTCCCCAAAGTCATGAATTCTTTTAACAGAGTGTTGTCAAATCTCTATATTTCCTCAGCAGAGTTTAAATCTTCGTCAGGTTAATATTACACCTCAGGCGATCATCATCCCCACAGAGTCTGAACTTAGCTGGCATCAATACCAATACGGCTATAATTCCTCTGTCAGAATCCACTTATCGATTCTCATCAATGGAATGATAAATCTCCAAAATCATTCAAATCCTGGTCAATTTACCAACTCTCCTCAGCAGAGTATCAAATAACCAATTGATCAACTACCTTTTAGCGGGGTGATAAAATTCCCCGAATCTCGTTCAAATCACAAGTAATACAATTCATCGCTCCGATGATAAAACATTTAGCAATCCTCCCCAACGAGACGCTAAAATATCTTCCTCACAGATGTCAGGTTAATATTACACCTCAGGCGATCATCATCCCCACAGAGTCTGAATTTAGCTGGCATCAATACCAATACGGCTATAATTCCTCTGTCAAAATCCACTTATCGATTCTCATCAATGGAATGATAAATCTCCAAAATTATTCAAATCCTGGTCAATTTACCAACTCTCCTCAGCAGAGTATCAAATAACCAATTGATCAACTGCCTTTCAGCGGGGTGATAAAATTCACCGAATCTTGTTCAAATCACAAGTGATACAATTCAACGCCCTGATGATAAAGCACCTAGCAGTTCTCCCCAGTGAGACGCTACAATATTCTTCATGTCACGTTAATACCACACCTCTGACGAAAATCCACTTATCAACTCTCCCCAATAGAGCGATAAGTCCTCAAAATTGTCCCGATCGCAATATTCTTCCTGTCACGTTAATATCACACCTCTGACGAAAATCCACTTATCGACTCTCCCTAATAGAGCGATAAGTCCTCAAAATTGCCCCGATCATAATATTCTTCCTGTCACGTTAATACCACATCTCTGACGAAAATCCACTTATCGACTCTCCCCAATAGAGCGATAAGTCCTCAAAATTACCCCGATCGCAATACTTTTTCTCGTCACGATAATATCATACCTCTGACAAACTTAATCTCTTGACTCTTTTCAATAGAGCGATAGATCCACAAATCTCTGTTATGTTAATAAGATACCTCTAACAGTTCCAACTCGTTTGAACCAGTTAATTCTTCTACATAAGAATACCAAGTGTTCATATACCCATCCCCAACAGACAAAAATTTCCCAAAATTATCACTTGCAGATTTCTATTGAACGAGTCATATCCTAAGGGAGTGACGAGTACGTATCCTTGACAAGTTAAAATTTTCTAGAATTATCTTAAATGGTAATAAAGGAAATTTTATAAAAATTGGCATTCTTCATATAATTTCATCGTTGTAAGTCAGAACACGACACATGCAATAAATAGAGAAAAGCCAAAATCACTTTTTTTTTATTTTACTCAGAAATATTAAGAAGTGATATAAAAACCTTGTTCTTATCAAACAAAAAGGACAATACACAATTAAGCCCCTGGGCCAGTAAAATTGAAAGACGCGAGTTGGGATTTAATAACAGATATCTTCTCCTCATGAGCGACTTGTACCAGTACCTCAGCTCTCTTCTTAAGTTCGTTCTCATCCGGTGTCGTTGCGATAGCTTCCTTTTGGATAAGTTCAAGATCCTGGACTGACGAACGATAGGTGGCGTAGGTCTTCACGCTTTCTAGTGTGAGCCTTTTCAAGATCTCTTCTTCTCGCGCGAGCTCAGCCTCGTGTCGAGCCAACTCCACCTTGAGTCAATCAATTTCTGCACGAGATGTTTGTATGGCAGTGTTAGAAGCAACTACGGCCTGTTGCTTTTGAAAACATTGCCCCTATAAGGATGCGATCTCGAGCTCCTTTTCAGTGATGCTCTCTTGAAGAACTTCGTGTCGGCGAGTTGCTTCGGCCCTGAGATCATCGAAGGTTAACGTGATTTGGGCAGCAAGATCAGCACTGTGCAACTCCTCCAAAGCCCTCAGATCCTTCTCCAATTGAGAGATACTCTCTGAATAGTGCTGAAACCAGCGAGCGTCATCAACATATCGAATGCCGCTCAAGAAAAGCATGAGTATTGGTTTAAAAGAGTCAAATGTAGCTCGTCTGGCACCAACCTCCTCAATAGCCACCTTCATCATATCCTCCAGAGGTCGTACAAGAATCTTAAGCATGGAGGGGATGACCACTGGACTTAAAGACTTTACAGGAGATGTAATCGGAGAGCCTAAAATGGTGGACACAGGCGCAAGAACTGTTGGCGACGATTGTGAAGAAGCTGGGGAAGCCATAGAAATATCCAGTTGTGAAGGACTTGAAGGAAGAATCATGAGCGTCCCTGCATGGGCTGAACTCAGCGCACTCTCCGTTCCCACAGACTTAAGAGAAATCGTTAGCAGGGGGGTTCTTCTGGTAAAGAAGTAGTCGTTATCGACGTTGGCTCGGGGAGAGAGACAGCTGCTGCTTGCTGTTTGGGAGACAAAGTCTTATCAGTGGCCTCATGAGTTGGAGAACTTGTACAAAAGAGCAGTTAGTTTAGTCATAATGCTATTCGTTGGGCTAGGAATAGCAGCCCCGTCTGTGGTAGTAACACAGAAGTAGCAGGAGATTGACTTTCATCGGCAGGAGGCCTAGTCTCTTTAGCAGGAAACACTGCAAGTGATGTCTCTGCAGTCGAAAGAGTAGCATTTGAAGCCTGACCTGGAAATGGTGAAATGACAGGGTCAAGGGTAGGAGAAGACTCCACATCCCCAATCAATGACTCGTCCCCGCCCTCTTCTTGGTCCAAAGGATGATAAGAAGAAAATTCACTGGAAAAAGCAGGACCCCTAGAGCGAAGTCCTGTGTGGAGGGGATGATTGGCAACAGCAGATTCTTATTCCTCCTCTCTCCCAGCAGACTTGAAAGCATCCGCCATTAGTTTCTGAGAAGGAGGGTCTACTAATAGTTTCCTACGAGTACGTTTCTCGTACTGAACTGCTTCTTCTTCGGTAAGAGCCCTCTTTCTAGTCGCTTTTGTTCTTGGAGTTTCAGCAGCCTTAGGGCTTGCTACTGGGGCACTCTCTGCTCCCAGATCTCCTTGTTCTTCTTCAGCCTCATCTTCATAAGATAAGAACTCATTGATTCCCTTCATACGAGATACCTGGGATCCTCTTCTGGATGAGTACATCTTCCTAATTTCCCGTAGCCCCGACAAATTCAACTTGTAATCAGGTATCTTAGAAGCTGTGTGATACCAGTTACAGAAAGCTATGGAGAGGAGAGAATTAGGCGTCTTGTGAGGTAACCTAAAGGTAGCTCCAGTGCAGCCTGCGGTAGAGTAGTACCAGGCCCGAGCCCCTTCGTAAATGTTACCAACTATTACAAGCTGACTCCGGGGATTCCCAATATATAATTGATCGTATCCAAATTGCCGAGCAAATATGTACGGTTGATACGGCTCAATTATACATTTATCACCTTACCTAAGGAGAAGATAACCTGGCCTAATGTTCAGGAGCCAGTGGAAGACCCCTCCATCTAAACGGGTAAAACCATCCGGGCCAGCTGTATCCTGGAACACTTGCCCATAGCCACCACCTTCAAAGTCTAGGAAACAGCGGAATAGGTGATAATTGAGGTCTCTCGACAAGATTTGACGACCCCTCACTACATATGTGCCTTCCCAAGTAGCTCCTTCCAATCTCTGTACAAAAGGGACGAATCCTTCGTCCGAGGGAGATGGGGCACTCATCAAAAGGGGACAGTAGGATACATACCATGCCATCAAATAGGTATACGGCAGGGGAACTCGAGGGTTTGGAGTCACCAAACTCTTCTTTTCTCCAGAGCCTGTCTCTTTCACCTGAATAAATTCAAGACATAGCTCCCTCAAACCATGCTGCAGACAGCACGTCATAGCTCAAAGAAGATTTACGGGCCTCCCGTGAGCCAAGAGAACAGCTGGGTAGACCACTTCTATCATCACAGCATCTATCGGCCTGGTAGGGACTACACACCGCTTTAGCCACAGCATGAGAAAGCCTGCCAACAAGGCCATGTCAGAAATAGGCACAGCAGCCTGGTGGTGGAAACTTTCAAACTCAGTCTGCGCAGGGAAATCCTCTTCTAATCCCTCGTTGACATAATGGGCCGTAGCATCGTTGATCAAATCTTGGATCATCTCAGGGGTGCTCACGCTCCGACGAGACACAGCGGCAGTTTTGTGGGATAAATTCTGGAATAGATATTCAGCCCAGGATAGCTGCTTTATACCACGTCCTCGTGTCCCCGTCAATTGGGTGCAGATTTAAAAATGACACATTACTTCCCATAGAGTGTCATAGACATCAGGATGCATCTCCTTCAAAATCCTAAGCTCATTTGACCCTGGGATGAACTCCTCATAGGGCAAGTCTCCAAAAGGAAGACCCGAAACGTCATACATTTCGTGGAGGGCAAACCCTAATTCCCCCACAGGTGTGAAGAATGTACACGTCTCCAGGTTGTATTTCTCCAGAACAGCAAAAAAATTGTAATAGTTGTAGTCAATGCCGCATCTGGTAGCCATTATAGGGCAACTGAGTCCAGATCGAGCCAATGATTCCTCTAGCTCTGTCAACACGAACCCTATCATTCTTGCCCACCACCCCGTTCGGGAAGAATGAACCCATCCAGGGGTTCTGAATACTGAAGGAGGGAACTCCCCTTTTACAGCCAAAAATCTCCGCATGAAAGTGTTGGCTATGCTAGCTGTTTCTCCAACGGGATATCCCCTTGAGAATAGGTAGGGTTCCAAAGCTGACACCTGGAGGTTGTAACCTACAGTGTGTACACCTGTGTAAGTCAAAGCCCCGATAGCTACCCTATCCTGCTCCCGGACAAGGTCCTAATCCATATGTCGAGGGACGGAAGCACACTGATAATAAGTGATAGGAAACATCCTATGCATATCAGGGAGGAAGAAGCGACGATCTCCTATTTGCCTCAACCACTTATAGTGGCCACCAGTCACGATCTCTTTTTGGATGACGACATGATCGCCAAACAGGAATGTGGCTTGGTAAGCTTTTTACGGGAGTCGGTTTCGAATTTGGCATCTGTCACCAAAATCCTGAGTACAGCTGGGCTTGGATGGGAAATCAGGGTAACACGATCCTTGTCTGCATCCTAAAAAATTAGGAGTTCCTGACGCAGATTGAATTGCATATTTAAATCCACGCCACCCTCGCGCCCGAAATGGTGACGAAGAGTAAGAGGTTCGCGGGAGTAAGGCACTGCAAAAGAGAAAAGTACTCAATTAGTCAACGAGGAAATAAAACAAAGGGAACCTAAGTCAAAATCCTTAGAGGAGTGAGAGCTTTTGAATGCACAGTTCAAACCTGGCGTTGAATTTTATCAACGCAGAGGTCGAACTCTGCGTTAAACTTTCGAACGCACGGCTCAAACCTGGCGTTGAATTTTATCAACGCAGAGGTCGAACTCTGCGTTAAGCTTTCGAACGCACAGCTCAAACCTGGCGTTAAATTTTATCAACGCAGAGGTCAAACTCTGCATCAAGCTTTCAAACGCACAGTTCAAATCTGGCGTTAAAATTTTATCAAACGCAGAGGTCGAACCCTGCGTCAAGTTTTCAAACGCACAATTCAGACCTGGCGTTAAAATTTATCAACGCAAAGGTCGAACTATGTGTTAAACTTTCTAGCGCACAGCCCAGACCATGCGTCAAAACTCATTAACGCAGAAGTTGGACCCCAACGTTTCAAATTCGAAACGCAAAGTCCCAACTCTGCGTTACAATATCAAAATGAGTCATCTTCCTCATTCACAAGAACCCATTTAGGGTTTTCAGAGAACTCGCCGAAGCAAGTTTTGTGGCCATGAAGATCGATACTTACCACCGACGAGAGAAGCCTGTGCCGATGGCGCACCAGCCTAAGTTTCAGAGAACTCGGAGCAGCGGCAGCGGCCGACCTTTGACGGGAGACAGTCTTCTTTCTCGGACCCATTAAGGATGATGATCGGAGAAGATGAACAGGGTTCACCGGAGTTCAAAACAAAATCTTCGTTAAGCTTTTCGAAAGAAGACAGATGAAAAGTCGAATGACTTTTGATTTGACCCCAGCGGTCTATTTATAGATAGCTGTGAGCTGTCGAATCAGGGCGAGATTCTAGGCCCAGAATCCCACCAAACGCGGCCTGTGCGTCTGCGTTGGTTGAGCTTCTGAACGCAGAGTTCAACTCTGTGTTTCAATTTTCAAGCATGTGAATCCACCTGTGCGTTTTGAATGCTATCAAATGAATTTCTCAACGTTTAAAGCCAAAACATAGCTTTAATAAATAGAGAGAAAGACTAATGTTAGCTATCAAGGTGACCAAAGACGAGAAGAAACAGACGACTCCGTTGGGGAGTCTGTTGGATGAGTACAAACAGATTACAATCGGCAACGCTAAAACTGTCATACGCGATTCTGCGCACAACTCATTCTTCTATGTGGCTTAACATACCAACCAAGATTGATGAAGCCAAGAGTTGTACCCAACTCATTCTTCTAAGTGACTTAACATCCCAACGAAGATTAATGAAGCCACGAGCTGCGCACAACTCATTCTTCTAAATAGCTTAACGTTCCCACCAAGATTAATGGAGACAGGAGCTACGCACAACTCATTCTTCTAAATGGCTTAACATTCCAACAAAGAGTAATGATGATATTGCTAAAATCATCACCCCAGTTGAGCTGATCAAGAAAGGAAATAAAGTGATGATATTGCTAAAATCATCACCCCAGTTGAGCTGATCAAGAAAGGAAATAAAGTGGGTCCCTCTGAGGCTGCCCTCCTGACTAAACTTGGGGAGCTGATCAAGAAAGGAAATAAAGTGGGTCCCTCTGAGGCTGCCCTCCTGACTAAACTTGGGATAAAGTCATTCTCATATGGGCTTGTGATTCTCTCTGTCTATGACAATGGATCTGTCTTAAGCCCAGAGGTGCTCAACCTCACAGAGGTTGACCTCGTTGATAAGTTTGCAGTTGGTGTTTCTGTGGTTGCTTCGCTGTCCTTGACTCTCTCTTACCCAACTCTTGCAGCTGCGCTTCACATGTTCGTCAATGCCTACAAGAACGTCCTTGTTGTTGCTGTTATCTCTATTGCATCTGCTGAGAATGCTACTGCTATTGCCTCTAAGGAAAAAGAGAAGAAGGACGAGCCTGTCGGCGAGTCTGACGATGACTTGGGATTTAGTTTGTTTGACTAAGTTCATTGTCATCAAAACTCAAAAGCTATCTTGTTTGGTTCGAGGAAACAGAATTTCAGCATTCCAACAACCAAGTTCACAATGTCTTCAAATCAGATGAAGTGAATAACCAACCAACTAAAATTTTAGGATCCAAAGTATTCCGAAAATTCGTCCCAGTTAACCGCGAACTTTCGAAAACTTTGGAGGGGGTTCTGTAGGCTGTCTAAAAATCACAATAGATAGCTGATCCCCATCAAGCTTCAACAAACAAAAGCTACAAACAGATGACTTTTCACATAGATCAAGAAGAGTTACAAATCAACGACACTTCTGACAACTGATGAAAACTCTATTCAGTAGCCTTCATAACCAACTGTGAGAGTTACAATCTGACGACTTTCACACCCCATAACAAGCAAAGATCAATGAGCAGTAGCCTTTGCGATGTTGTAATGGACGAGGTTACAAGCCAACAACCTCTCCCAAACACAGAGTCCACCTCTGCGTTTCCCAAACTCAAAACGCATACGAACTGTGCGTTCTCTAGTAGACATTCAACTCTACAACGCATAGTTAAAACACAAAACGCACAGACTGTGCGTTCTTCAGCAAACACTCAACCCTGCGTCTCAAACTCAAGATGCAGAGTTGAGATTCAGCACACAAGCGGCCTGTGCGCATGCGGCCTATGCGTTTCAAATCTCTAGCAGAGATTTAACTCTGCGTCTCAAGCCTTAGGCGCAGAGTTAAGGCCCAGAACGCCAAGTTAGGCATTTGACTTGTTCAAACACAGATTGAACGGCCTAACAACCGTTTATCCCACGTTCTGAGGGATTCTCGCTCACATAGGAGCGGATTTAGGGGTTGGTTACACCCCTTATCCCCCTATAAATAACCGCATTACTCAACTGAGTAAAGGGTTGATCGGTCTCGGCAGCTAAACCGCACGGAGAAGGCGATTTTCCTGAAGATCAACGAACTGATCGGCTGTTAGTTAATAAAATCTCAGAGAATCCCTTCACCAACGGCAGATCTACTTGGCTATTAATCGAATTTTCGGTTCTAACAACTCTGTTACAGAGTTTCAACTCGCTCTGAGTTCTTAAACTCGTTAAGAGTTCTTAATTAAACTTGCAACGCAAGTTAATTACACTAATCGATTATTCGGTTTTTCAACAACTCTTTTCAGAGTTTTCAACTCGTTCTGAGTTTCTTAAACTTGTTAAAAGTTCTAAACCGGATTCATCATACAAGTCAATCGTTCTCGTGAGACAGGACGGTCTGATCGTCAACGGAGAGCAAATTCGACGCAGGCATTCGAAGGAGGCACTCCATCGCTACTAAGAAGAACCCAGAATTAAACAAAGGGGAGAGTCAAATTCATTCTCCTCTCTTTTGTAATCGGAATCCAAATTGTAATCGATTTTGAGAGAATACCAATCAATTTTTCTTTCATTTCTTTTACATCAAATTTTCCACAAACATTTCCCATTTAAAAGAAATAAGCACGTGAACTTATGAATTCGCATTAACTGTAAGGGAAAATTCGTAAAAATTCCATCTACAACAGTGTGTCATGTAATATAAATACCTTTTTCTTTTTGCATATCAATTTGGACCAAATCAAAAATAACAAGGGTATAGACATTAGCAGCAAATGACTCTAAATTTCTCATACATGTTCTTTGTTGGTCTTGAAAGTGGAGACCCAAACCTAGAATCAAAATCAATAATCGCATGAAAATTCAAGACAGACCATGGGTGTGGTCTGCACCACACCAGGGTGTGGCAGAATCTGTCCTGTCTGTCATGGGTGTGGTCTGCGTCACACTAGGGTGTGGCAAAGTCTGCCCTGTCTGCCATGGGTGTGGTCTGCGTCATACCAGGGTGTGGCAGACTCGTTTTAGAATCCTAATCTGTTTGGGACTGTGTTTTGTTATAAATAGAAACATATCCCTTTAGGGTTTAAGAGAGAAAAAGAGCACGAAAAAAGAGGGTTTTGAGGGCTCTTTGAGATTAAAAATCTTAGAGAGAGAGGCCAATTGCAAGCATTGTAATCTTCTTTAAGTAATCAAAGAATTATGTGGTGTGGCTCCCGAGGACGTAGGCACGTTGCCGAACCTCGTTAAATCTGGTGTGTTCTTTCTTGTTTACTTTCCTACAAGTTTTTATCTTTGATTTATGGTGAATTTCTTTCTTGCTCAACTCTCAAACACAAGGTCCGGAAGGGCAAGGGTTCGATTGATTGTTTCGAATCCCCAACAACTGGTATCAGAGCTTCGTTCAGCAATTTGTGTGAAAGAGAGCCATGGCAGAGGAAATCAAATCAAAGATTGAAAAGTTTGACAGTTCAGACTTCGCCTACTGGAAGTCGCAGATGGAGGACTACCTGTACCAGAAGGACTTGTATCCCTCGTTGATGGGCAAGGAAAAAAAAAAGAAGAAGGAGGAGTCAGATGGTGATTGGGAGGTACTGGATAGGAATGCTCTAGGGCAAATCCGGTTGTCGCTCGCCAAATCAGTAGCCCATAATATTCTGAAGGAGAAGACGACGAATCCGGTTGTCGCTCGCCAAATCAGTAGCCCATAATATTCTGAAGGAGAAGACGACGGTGGGGCTTATAGAAGCGCTCGCGAAGATGTACGAGCAACCGTCGGCAGCAAACAAGGTGCATCTAGTCAAAACTCTTTTCAACCTCAAGATGGCAGAAGGACGGTCCTTCACGATGCATCTCAACGAGTTCAACACAATTGTTGATCAGCTTATCTCTGTGGACATCACGTTTGATGACGAAGTGCAAGCCCTATTGATTCTATCGTAGTTGTCGGATAGTTGGGCAGGTTGTGTGACAGCAATCAGCTATTCAGCGGGGAAGGAGAAGTTGAAGCTGAGTGAGGTTATTAGCATGATTCTATCCGAGGAGGTTAGAAGGAAATCGTCCGAATCAGAAGGTTCAGGTTCAGCTCTAAGTTTCAAGCAGAGAGGCAGAGGCCAGAAGAAAGGAAACCATAACAGGAATCAGTCGAAATCAGTAAAGAAGAGGTCGAACTCGAAGGTTAGGCCTATCAAAGGAAAGTGTTGGAACTGTGGCCAGGAGGGCCATATGTCTTCAGTCTGCAAAAGTCCAAAGAAGAATGCGGGTGAGCAGGAGGCTCATATCGTGCAGGATGCCTTGATTCTTGCAATGGACAGCGACTCGAATTCTTGGGTCATCGATTCAGGAGCCTCTTTCCACGCCACTGCTAACAGGAAGCTATTTCAGAATTATGTAGCAGTGGACTTTGGAAAAGTATATTTGGGGAACAACGAGCCCTGTAATATTATTAGAAAGGGTGAAGTGCAAATTTAGATGAAGGGCTCTAAGTGGACCTTGAAGAACGTGAGACACGTGCCGAAACTGAAGAGGAATCTTGTTTCGGTGGGACAACTTAGAGCAGAAGGCTATGTTTCGACATTCACTGGGGATTCGTGGAGGATCTCCAACGGTACGATGATAGTTGCTCGAGGTAACAAACTAGGAACTCTCTACCTCACCTTACATACGAGTGACACCCTCGCAATTACAGCTGGCAAAGAGAGTACAGATCTGTGGCACAATAGGCTAGGGCACATGAGCGAAAAGGGGATGAAGATTTTACATTCACAAGGAAAGCTAACCGGGATCGACGCCGTGGAAGTCGGGGTTTGTGAAGACTGCATCTTTGGGAAGCAGAACAGGGTTAGTTTTCAGAAGGGTGGAAGGCCACCTAAGGCTCGGAAGCTAGAGTTGATTCATACAGATGTATGAGGTCCAGCCAGTGTGTCTTCTTTTGGCGGTTTGAGATATTATGTCACCTTCATCGACGATCACTCGAGAAAGGTGTGGATCTACTTCATGAAGCACAAGTCAGAGGTGTTTGGAATATTCAAGAAGTGGAAGGCCATGGTGGAGAATGAGACAGATCTGAAGGTGAAGTGTCTGAGATCAGACAATGGTAGGGAATATGAGCTGGAGGAGTTCAAGAGGTTCTGTGCTATGAATGGTATTCGGTTAGAGAGGACTACTACAGGGATGCCGCAGCAGAACGGCATTGCAGAGAGGATGAACAGGACCTTGACAAAACTTCTCAGGAGCATGCGGTTACATGCAGGTCTGCCTAAGATATTTTGGACAGATGCAGTGCATACAGCAGCCTACCTTATTAATCACGGGCCATCAGTTTCATTAGATTTTGGGATTCCAGAGGAGATTTGGAGTGACAAGAGGATAAATCTCTCACACTTGCGGGTATTTGGTTGCGTGGCTTATGTTCATATCAGTGACCATGTCAGGGACAAGCTAGAAACTAAGTCACAGAAGTGCACATTTATTGGATACGGTATTAATGAGTTCGGGTATCGCCTTGGGGATGAGAAGAAGATCATCAGAAGCAGGGACGTGATATTCAATGAAGAGGTGATGTACAAGAATAGGAAAAATACCAAGGATAGCCAAAGCAGTGGGAGTACCACTACGGATGCAGGTGGATCTGAGTACATAGATTTAGAGGAACTTCCAGATAGGGGTGATGATGTTTGTTCTGATCAGAGAATGGAGAAGGCTCTAGGTGCAGAAGAAACTACCCAGGGCGTGGAGCTTAGGAGGTCATCCAGGATACCCAAACCAAATCTCAGATATCTTTCATCTCTTGACTACCTATTGTTGACAGATAACGGTGAGCCGGAATGCTATGAAGAGGCGATGCAAGTGAGTGAATCTCAGCAGTGGGAGCATGCTATGCAAGAGGAGATGGATTCTCTACTCACTAATGAGACATGGGAGTTAGCCCAGCTACCTATACAGAAGAAAGCCTTACATAACAAATGGGTCTATCGGGTCAAGCAGGAGAGTGATGGAAGCAAGAGATTCAAGGCCAGATTAGTAGTGAAGGGGTTTTAACAGCGGGAAGGAGTGGACTACACGGAGATATTTTTTCCTGTTGTGAAACTCACAACCATCAGAGTGGTGTTGAGTTTGATGGCTGCAGAAGACCTCTTT